CCTTTCTCATATATTTGGTAGTATAGGAGTTTATAATGTTTGGTCTTGTATTATGAGCCTTAGTGGATGACCACTTTTCTTATATATTTGGTAGTACAAGAGTTTATATTGTTTGGTCTTGTATTATGGACCTTAGTATAAGATTTTTTGGGTTTAGGGCTTAGGGTGTAGATGTAATTTAGTAGAATGGAAAAAAAATATATTATTTTGCTTTAAAAAATTTGTGTGACAAATTTGTAGTTAGAACGGGCCGTTCCGTTTTCAGAACGGCCCGTTCTGATTTAATTATTGATGTGTCATTTTTTAATTCGGAACGGGCCGTTCTGATGTTGGAACGGGCCGTTCCGTTCCATTCGTCATGTGTTTTTTTGTCATCTGGAACGGCCCGTTCTGGTCCAATATTTATGTGTTATTTGTTCATTTGGAACGACCCGTTCTGATTTCAGAACGGCCCGTTCCGAGTGTCAGTAGCAGCTGCGTCTGTTGCCATGTGTTTTTTGTTTTTTGGGTAATTTAAAAAAAAATCAGTAAAAAAATCGAAAATTTAGATCCAGTGTGGTAAGGTGTATTATGGTCTACTAGTTTAGATGCATCTAAGGGTGAAAACTGATGATGCACCCATGGACCACTTGTGAAAGTGGTCTTTCAGAGAATTCACCATGAATGTATGAATGTATGTAATCTAATTTGTACTCTTAATATACATTGAATATTGGATAGATTGAATTTTATCATATTCTACTTTTATCTTATTGTAATGACCCGTTAAGTCACCACATTTAATATAAGACATTGATAATGTAATGAAAAACCTAAAGAATTTATTGTCTAGGATTATCATGCAATAGTACTTGAATATCCATGCAACAAATATATGTATAGGGTGCATAAAATATATACTACCAACATCAACATATAGACCATACCATAAAAGTTTTTCAACTTAAACAATACATCAATACCACAACTTACAACACAACAAACTACTTATCAACACATCTTGTGCACAACACAACACTTTAAGCAATAATACCATATATCAACTTCACAACTTATCAATACAACAACATAATGTGTCATCACGTATTTTAACTAAGAGATCTCTTACTACACGAGTGAGTAGTCTAAGTGGCTAGCTTGACCCTACTAATTAAATTAACTTAGCAACGCAATTTTTTTGGACTTATTAGATCAACAATATATTTGGATAAAAATTCACAACACGACATGATTTATCAGATTTTGTCACTTAAACAAAAAAAGTTCAATATTCTAGTCAGGGTTAA